GAACCAATGGGTGTTGCAGTCAAGACTGATTCTGCCCAGCACATATTCAGCCTTCACACAAACCAGTGGGAGCTGCAGCCTAGTCGGAGCGACCCGCAATAACCCCCACAAGGCCCGCCCCTGCCCTTGTTCCCATGCTTGGCACTACATACAGCAGACTTGTCCAGTCTGTCCCACATCTCATTTAGCTCTCGTACATGTCAATGGGCATTGAAGCCTAGTTCAATCCAACCAGCACTACTTGGTGGGGGGGGGGGGGGGGACTGCTCAGTCTAGCCACTGCTGCCCCAGTCCTGGTTTTCATGCTTTCCAGTGGAAGCGGCAACCCAAGAGATAGGCGCCCACTATTTTCCAACGGGGCCACTCCCACTCCCGGAACATGCACTTTCCAGGTAGTTCTGCAGTTAAACTTAACAGAATTGGCCCCCAGAGCCATCCTCTTCCAGCTGATGCTATGGCAAAACCCAACCAACCCTCACACACTATGATTTTGTTTGCTCCAGTAGGAGCAGTCAGCCCAGCTTGGCTTTTCCCTGACCTGATCTAGCCTCACATGAGCTCCACAAGTCTTGTAGCCCTGCTTGGTCTGGTCTGCCCCCATCTGAACTCACGCTTTCCAGTGGAGATAACAGTCCAGTAGGGGGGCCTTCCACATTTCCCCTATCAGCTTTGCCTCCTCCCTGGTTCTCACATGTGCTGGTTGGGTGCTGTGGCCGAGTCTGGCATGGTCCCCCTCACTTTGGCATTTGCCAGTAGGTGCTGTAGCCTGGCCTAGGTTGGCCTACCCTCAACTCCAGCAGACGCTGGTGGGGGTTACAGCTTAGCACATACCGGCAGACACCCAGTCACAACCATAATGTGCACTGGTAGGTGTTGTAACCGAACCCAGCTCAACCCACACTCTCTTCTGGTGCTCAGATTCACCAGAGGTTGATGTGAACTGCTTGAGCCTGGTCTGCCCCCAACCTATGCCAAATGTATGCCAGTGGGCACCTTTCCCTGGCCTGGTCTGGGCTGCTCCCTATTGTGGTTCTTGCACTCACCTACAGGGTCTGTGTCCAGACAAAGGAGTTTCCCAATCTCCTCCATGAGAATCTCTCTTTATTCCAGATTCTTGCACATACTGGTTGGTCCATGGGCCAGCCCTACTTCGTCCGCCTCCTATCTTAACAGTAACAGTGGCCTTTCCTGATTGGCCTTCAGCCTATTTTGGTTCTTACTGTAGGATGTTTCAGCCCAGCCAATGCTCATCCATACCCAGAAACAGCTCAAACATGGCTCAGTAGGGGAAGAGACCCAGCCTAGTTTGTCCTACACCTGCCCTGGTCCTCCAGAACACTAGATGGTGCTGGAGTTTAGCCCTGATTGGTACGCCCAGCCTCAGTCCACACTTGTGCTGAGGGACACTGCAGCCATATCCAGACCAGAACGCAGCTCCCACTCCGGCCCCCACACTCACCAGTGGGAACCCCAACCCAGTTAGGGTGTCCTCTTAGCTCCCCCAACCAGGCCTGTTCGCAGCCAGTGATCACAAGAGTGCCAATGGTTGCTCTGACCCAACTTGGCATAGCCCCTCACCTGTCTTGGCCTTTGCTTTCGATGCTGTGGCCTAGCATTCCTGGCTCATGCAGACCAGAAGGTGTAAGAGCCTACCTCGGCATGACCTGAGCTCCATCCTGATTTCTGTTTTTCCTTGTGAGTTAAGGTTTGCTCAGCCCTGCCTGATCCACCCCTTTCCATAACCAACCCACACATCAGCCAGCCATTGGGATCTGCTTTGCCCAGCTTGCCTGACTTCCAGGCCTGGACCATACGATCATCAGTGAGAGTTGCAACCCACTAGGGTAGTTTCCCAAGTTCCCCCAATTGATCCCCTCCCAGACCCAGACATCACAGATGCTAGTGGTTGTTAGGCCAGTGACCGGTACAGTCTGCTCTTCCATCTTGGCCTTGTATGAGCTGGTGAACATTGCAGCTTGGCCCACCCTACACTCTGTTTTAGCATGCACATGCGGGTGCTGCTGCCTTGACCTGCCCAGGCTGTTCTCGGTCTCTTTACCCATAAGTGGTGGCAGGTTCCACTGTCACAAGTAGCTCAGCCCATTACCACCCCAACTCTTGAGCTAACCAGCGGGACTTGCATTTCCACAGGGTTGGGCCCACACATTCCCCGCAGAAATCTACCCCCAGGAACTGGTTCTCTTGAGTGCTGGTTAGTGTCATGACCCTGCCAAGTGTGACCCTTACCCTATTCTGACAGTCAGGTACTGATATCTACCCTTGTCAGACAGACCCCCATCTATAGCTTTCATGTGGAATGGCATTTGGCAGTCAGTGGAACTCTACACTAAACCCCATCTCAAGACTTCCATGTGGGCTGGTAAATTATTCTGACCCAAACAGATCTTATGGACTCTCCCCTCCAAACCACTAAGCCTCAGTCCCCATGTTTGCCAGAAAGTTCCGTGACCCTGTCACTGCGGATCACACAGGATTTATCCCTCACCTACTCTCACACTGGTCTTATCCATGGATGTCACAAGGTAGCAATTACATACCCTAAACACCCTAGAGCCCATTGCCAGGTGGCCTGCAGGCGGAGTCTGGCACCCAGTGGCCACACTGGCTGCCTAGAGCCCAGGACTTTCTCACCATTTGGCAGCAGTGGCCATAGCCTGAGTCCCACGCATTGGGTCTGACCTGGCTCAGGTACCCCCTGCAGCTGCCGCTCGGTAAGCGAGTCTTGAGCATCACCCAAACCCCACGGCCAAACCAGCCCCTTTTCTATTACATCTGAAATCTAGTTGTACCACCAATCATAAAGCAATGTCAACAAGGGAATGCAGATTAACCAGATTTGATCAGCACATACATGTAATGCATTATTGCACTGTAGCTCATAAATATGTAGACAATTATTATTAATTTAAAATTTCTAATTAAAAATAAAGTCATAATTTAAAAATAATGAGAAACGCATGATTTTGGACCAGTCCAGATCTGGCTGGTGCAGCACTTTGGAGAGTGAACCAGCAGATAGAAGCTTTCTTTCTCCCTAACTCTGACTTGCAAATAAAGAAATCTTTAAAGTTAAAAATCCATGCTTGTTTAACAAGCTAGGTTATCTATTTCCAATTAAGCCTAATATGGTGCCAAATCTAATTTACAATAAAATGAAATTTTAAAAAGGAACCTAATTTACTGTTAGAAAAAGCTAAAACAGCTAAATAAAGTGACAGCATCCCATAGCCACAAGGAAACACAAAGATTAACACTCAGCTCTCATACGGGAATATCTGGGTTTGAATTGTGGTTTCTTCCCAATTCTAAATGGCCACTAATGGGAACTTTGGAAAGCAGGATGTGATGGCTTAACTAGTCGGGCCCCTGAAAACTCCTTGGATTGGGTTCCTGGATCCTGGCTTAAGTCTAACCTAGCACTGACTATTGTAGGCTCCTAAAGAGTGAACTAACAGACGGGTGGTTTCTATCTCTATCTATTAAATAAGCATAAAAATCAGAAAACAAAGATTTGGTTAAATTTCAGTGACAGGTTTGGAAGCCCTGAAGTTATGAGAAACTTGACTAATGGGCGCTTATACAATCTTAAATTTAGAAGAATTTAACTGACTTACCAAAGCAGACATTTTGGTGTATATAACTGGGGACATGTTACTAAGAAATGAGAAACCGTATTAAAATCCTCAGCATTTCGGGCCTGGTGTGGTTGTCTAGTGGTTAAAGTCCTTGCCTTGAACATGCAAGGATCCCATATGGGTGCTGGTTCTAATCCCGGCAGCTCCCCTTCCCATCCAGCTGCCTGCCTGTGGCCTGGGAAAGCAGCTGAGGACAGCCCAAAGCCTTGGGACCCTGCACCCAATGTGCGAGATTATGAAGAGATCCTGGCTCCTGATGTCAGATTAGTGCAGCTCTGGCTGTTGCGGTCACTTGGGGAGTGAATCACTGGATGGAAGCTCTTCCTCTCGCTATATATCTGAGTTTGCAATAAAAATAAAACAAATCTTCAAAAAAAAAATCTTCAGCATTTCATCAGTGACATTAAGCCTTGGTTTGAAATCCCTAGTGAATACAAATGTACATGGGTTCGGCCTGCTACATATTTTTTAGTATCAGTATACTTTTAAAACCCCATACGTGAAGGTTATTAGTTACAAACCTAGCATACTGTTTTGAAGAAGTATCTATAAAATTAATAAATCCACAATTTTGAGGGTTTTGACATTTTTTTTGTAACACCTTGAATTCAATAAGAATATAACTGAGACAGTCATTTGTTTACAGTGTATCTTGAGAAAGGAGCAAGATGAATGTCTTCTTCCAGGGAGACAGTTTGAAATGAATGGTGCTCAGAGTGGTCTCCAGCACAGGGGTACCAGAATCCTGAGACCTCACCTAGAGCTATGAAATCAAAGATGGGGTGAAGCTCATTATTTGGTTTTAAAAACCCTCTGGGTAGGCTCGGTGTGGTAGCCTAACGGCTAAAGTTCTTGCCTTGAATACACAGGGATCCTAATGAGCGCCGATTCTAATTCTGGTGGCCCTGCTTCCCATCCAGCTCCCTGCTTGTGGCCTGGGAAAGCAGTCAAAGATGACCCAAAGCCTTGGGACCCTGCGCCCACATGGGAGACCCAGAGGAAGCTCCTGGTTCCTGGCTTCAGATCGGCTCAGCTTCTACTGTTTGTAACTTGGGGAGTGAACCATCAGATGGAAGATGGGCACAACACTGGCTGTTGCAGTCACTTGGAGAGTAAATCATTGGACAGAACATCTTCTTCTCTGTCTGTTCTCCTCTCTGTATATCTGACTTTCCAAATAAAAATTAATCTTTAAAAAAAAAAGACCCAGTACTGTACTGTATAAATATTAGAATGTGTATATGTGTGTTTTATAAAATTGATTCAAATACATATTATAGGGATAGGGATATTCTTTTTCATGAAAGGAAAAATAGAAGAATGAAACTGAAAAAAAAGACATACCTTCAAAGATCTCTCATTGGTCAAGAGTGCAACTTGCTTTTCTGGTGTTTGCTTTTCCACATGCCTACAAATTTTTATCATCCCACACACAAAAAGAGAAATTAAAAATTCTACATAACTGAATAGCAAAATAGAAAAGATAACTGCTAGAAAGATGATAACACGTTTCCAAGGATACATCCTAGGTAACAGTCATGGTTTGAGGGTAATTTTTAACTGCTTCAATCAGCTGTGCTTCAGTCCTTGGGTCTAATTACCAACACCACAGACTCCAGAAATAGGAAATGTTACTTCTAAAAATAAGTCTGGAGAACTTCCAAATTATGTCCATCTTTAAAATATCTTTCTTTATGCTAAATATTTAAATCCAACAAGAAAATCCCACAAGTAAGGATTGGCACAATTTACTATTGCTCCAAATAAAACTAAAAGGTTACTGTTCCCTTTTCAACCTCAATAGTAACTGGATATTGTTTCTTAATTGGTCTTAAATTTTATACAAAACATGTTCATTATATGCTTCTCTTTTTACCTCTGAAATGAAGGGAGACGTAGAATGTTTTCACACTGATTAGCTGATAAAAAATTTATTCTTTTTTTGGCTTCTGGGAGATCACAGCAAAGAACACTCAAGGGCTGAGAATAAAAATGCTCTAATAGAGAAAGCTGAAAGAAATGTGAAGATGAAATATAGTTATTATATTTTGGCAGTTAATTTTTGCCGTAAGTCTGTTCAATTTAAGTTCACTTTCGAAACAGCAAAAGTATTTACAGTGATTAATATATTTAATAATGTCACAATAACACTGCAAACAACACACAAATGGGTCATACAGCCCCAGTATTTTAGGTATCTTTTTTGTGGGCAAGTTTGAAAAATGATCATCTCTGAAATACAAACAAAACAAACATAAATGGTTATATTACCATCAGTGCAAGCAACTCAAAATGGTTGTAAGTGTGGTATGGAGGGGATTGGGATGAGACCACAGCATCTAAGAGACACTCCAATACTTGCAAGAAAGTAGCAACTTAAAATCAGTGTGAAAGGGGCCACTGTTGTAGCACACAGAACTAAGCTGCTTTCTGCAACACCAGTATGCCATACCAGAATACTGGTTTGAGTCCCAGCTGCTGTACTTCATATCTAGCATCCTGCTCATGAGAGTGGGAAAGCACTAGCAGACGGGCCAAATACTTGGATACTTGGACCCTACCACCCTTGTGGGAGACACAGATGGAACTCTAGAGTCCTGGCTTTGACTAGGACCAACTTGCCACTGAAGACATTTGCAGAGTGAACTAGTGATAGAAGTGTTCTCACACTCTCTACCTTTCAAATCAATAAATCCTTAAAAAGAATACAGTCAGTGTACAATAATCAGCTGCAATAAGTAAAAAAATGCTACAATGATAAAAGCTGTGGCTACTGTTAACAAAGAATAGTGAAAATTCAACCTTTTCTAAAGGGCCCGGCATAATGGTTCAATGGCTAAATCCTAACTTAACATGCAACGAGATCTCATATGTGTGCCAGTTCATGTCCTGGCTGTTCCACTCTCCATCCAGCTCCCTGCTTATGGCCTGGGAAAGTAGTAGAGGAAGGCCTCTCTTTTATATATACATATATATACACACACACTCCCCCAATCTTAAGGGATGTAGTAGGAAAAAGTTATCTGATAGCACAAATCAGCCATTTTGAGCTTTTTCTGTTTTAAGTGAACGGCTAATGAATTGATGAGCTGATACAACTGAGCATATGACAGCCATGGCAAGATAAAATCTTTCAAACAATTCATCTGTAAAGGTTGTAAAGCAAAGAAGCCAGCATAACTTAGAAATAAGAACAGGGGCAAGTGTGGTGGCAACCAAGTTAAGCCTGTGGTGCCAATATCCCATGTGGGCGCAGGTTTGTGTCTTGGCTACTCCCTGTAGCCTGATCCAGCTCCATGGTGATTCCCTGGGAAAACAGTGAAGGATGACTAAAGTCCCTGGGCCCCTGCACCCACATGGAAGACCTCGTCAAACCTCCTGGCTTCAGATTGGCTCAACTCTGGTCACTGTGGACATTTTGGAATTGAACCACTGGATTGAGGACTTTTTCCTTTGTGTTACCTTTCAATTGAAAATACAATATTTTTTTTGAAAACGAGAAATTAAGTACAAATTAGATTGCAACTGTTCTGGTGAAGCAACAATGGCACCAATGTCCCATCCATCTGCCATGCTACACGTAGCATGCCTGTCAATTTGTTCCTTTCTTGCATATCTTATTTCCTTAGCAACCAGCGTGTTAACTCTATCTCATCTTCAAATTCCTATTCTCCTCTCAGTTCTACTACCATGACATTAGTTTAGTTCTTTGTAACATCTTGTCCAGATTATTCTAAGGAAGAATCTTTTGACAAATTTCCTTTCTTCTATTTTTGTCTTTCCTTGGAATAGTCTATTGTACCCTAAAGTATGCCTCATTTTAAATACTTAGTGCTCCAAACTGTAGTTAGTTTTTTTTATTTCTTCCAAGAACAATGTGTACTTTGAAGACAAATATTTCATTATCCTACGTCTCCAAGGGTCAGCATTGTGTTGGGCTCATCCCACAAGTAACACCCCTAAAATATATATATAAATATATATATGCTTACATATATGTAATAAATATATTAACACAAAACATCCAAGTCAAATTCATACAAAATAAGTAAGACGTATTCACATGTTATACAAAAAAAATTAATGCTGAAAAAAAAGGCATCAATTACCCATAAGAACTATTATTACAGCTTTTGTTATGTAGAGGAAGAACAAAAAGAAAATTTCCAAAGCACTACAAAAAGATGACATACTAGAATCTTGCATTCTGGCACTGAAGATTACTAACACCTGAATAAACCTGATAACCCTAGCAAATGGTATACATTCAGAAGGATTTTATTTTGCTAAGATCTTTTAGGTAGTAGTAAAGAGAAGGCAACACTTTTTAACTTATTAAATAACCAAAGAATGGGTCTTTATTAATGATAGAGCAGATGTTACCAAGCTAATTCAAGAATTAGCTTCTGGCAATTCATTAAACTCTACTGAGTTAAATAGAGGATTAATTACAAATGAATACACATCACTCACACACACACACACACACACACACACACACACACACACACACACACACACACACACACTTACTTTTAGGGCATGTAGAATTACAGCCTACAATCCACTCTTGTATGGTCCAGAAACTAAAAATGCTTTTTTACATCTTAAAAGGGATAGGAAAGCAATTAGCAGCAGCAGTGACCACAGGCAGCAAGCAAGGTTGAAAAGATGTACTGTTTGGCCCTTTAGAGAAGTTTGTTGATCCTGTAGTTATGCATTTTGTAACAGTCAAGAATCATTGGAATGGAAGGGGTCTTTTCCATTATTGATACCCTAATTATTCTCCTGTTTTGCTAGAAGGTACAAAGGAACAATACAACCCAAAATAGAGAAGGTTGAATTTCTCATTCTACACTATGCCATTTAAAGTCTCTTAATTACTACAATACACAATCTGAAATAACATACAAAATATTCGGAATAAGCTTGTGAATTTTTAAACTCATAGGTACTTTCTTACCTGAAGGCCTTTGATGAAGTTTTGAATTGAGAAATCATGATACAAAAAGATATTGGTCAGAACTTGCAACACTTTTTCACTTATTTTAAAGGGAAATTGAGTTGTAAGAAGTACCTGAAAGAGAATATCCAAGGGGAAGGTGGAGGTGCACTCCTTATTAATATTCATTCCTTACAAATATCAAGTATACATAATGAAAAGAATTTTAATATGACACAATAAATATGAGAGCTGCAACAGTAAGTCATTTTTAGATCAAACACTAGCTGAAATTTTAGGTTGAATCACCCAACAACGTATTACATCTTCAGAACTATCTTCCCTCTAATATACAATTTCTTAAATTCCGCCTTTTACTATTTAGACATTTTCCCTATCAGAAGACACCAAAGAAGCTGCAGTTGGCAATTCCTGTCATGAGATTTTTTTCTCACTGTTACTGATTTGAAGTAATGAAGAACAACACAGTGTGTACTACTACTGAATGACAAACACAACATTAACTGATGGATATTTCTAAATGCAAAGTAGCTGTACTCGTACTGTATCGGTACTTTTCAACGGCCTTCAGTGAGGTCTCACACCTGAAAACGTAAGTCAGGGCAGATTTAGCCTAGCAGTTAGCTACTCTTCCACATCAGAGTGTCTGAGCTGGCTATCTGGCTGCAGCTCCCAATGTAGGCGAACACTGGGAGACAGCAGGAACGGGTTAAGGAACTGAGTTCTTGCTAGCGACTTGGTAGACCCCCATTAGGTGAACTCTCCAGCTCCAGGTATGTAGGGAGTGAATTAGTTTTCTCTCAAAAAGAAAAGAAAAGGAAGAAAAGGAAGGAAAAGAAAGAGGGAGGAAGAAAGGGAGAAAAATGTCATACTAGGCTTAGCTGTAGTAGAGCAGCAGAATTTTAGTACACCAAACTATTTTAAAATACTGCAGTAGAAAAATTTTCCTGGGTAAGAGGCAACTAAGGTGCCACTTGGGAACCCCACACATGACCCTGGTTCAAGAAACTACATATTCTGCCTCCATTCCACTTCCTACTAATGCACATTCCAGGAGCAGCAGACGATGTCCTAAGTGCTGGGGTCCCCAACATACACATGGGAAACGAACACAGCTGCAGGCTTCTGGTTTCAACTTGGCCTGGTACTGCAATAAGCAAACAAGCAGATGAGAGATTTCTCTCTCCCTGGCTGCTTCTTGCAGATAAAGTGAAAGTAACTCAATTTAAAAATGCCAATAAATCATACAAATACTACTGTTATAATGAAAGGGATGAAAAATGATTAGTAAATAAGGTTGTCATCAGTCTACCTTACAAAAGCAACAAAAAAGCACATTTCAAAGGAGCTGAGTCTAGCAAAAATTTGTAAAAGCTCAACAGGAAAATATCTTATTTCTATTTAGTAGAGGTTTTACAGTAGCTGAGGCCTGGGAAAATTTTAATATTTATTTGTTGTTCAGATGAGCATGATACTCAGAAAAGAATCTATTAAAAGCTTCAAATCACTTTCTGTAAAATGTGAGTTAAAATACATTTCCACCTATAAATTCTATAAAAAGTTATTTTTAAAACCTGTACTTTACAGGCTTTATAGATACATAGACATATACGGGTGTCATACATAAAGCTTACGCTCATCTACAAGAAAGTTTATACAAAATTACTTAGGAAATGTAAAGTAATTACATGAAGCTAGTAAGATAAGCAAAGGGCTATGTTCAATATTCGCACTCAGAGATGTAATGGTTTATCATTGACATTTCTATTTATAATCCACGCTCAGCAGTTTTCCTTTCATCCTATTACATTGGTAAAACTTCTCATTTTTACCTTATCAAGTACTGAAGACAGGTGCTCCTTGCAAGATAATGTCTGGAACAGTTCTATACATAAAAGAGATGATATTGCATGAGGAAGCAACCGGTGAATGATTACAGGAGATGTGGCAATACCAAAAATGAGTATGAGTGGAAATTCGTGAAGATGTTGACTAGTTTGCAAAGAAAGACACAAAAATGAAATATTTTTAGTAAACACATTTCAATATGTTGTATTTCAAGATAAAACAAGCTTTATCACCCACTTTCTAAGGTACTGCCAAGAAATCATACTAAATCCTAAAATTTTCGAGCATTCATTTTCTGTTGAAGTAACACAGAAGTAGTTATTTTCAAGATATTCCAGCTTTGAATTCAATCCATTAATGTATTAATGATTCCTATCAGTTTATGAATAAAACAGAGGTCAAAGAGAATAACTGCCTGGCCCAACCACTGTACAATCTCATATTAGAAGAGGTATTAGATTACTAGATTACACTCAATCTGACGTTTCCCTCAGAGTTTGAACTTTACCTGTAATCTTCCTTACAGGCCATCTAACTTATGTTTCAGTAATTCAGAGACAGGGAGCTCATTAGTATGCAAGGTAACCTATTCTATTTATAGACATTTCTAGTACATAATACATGATCCAGCCATAATAGCCAACAACAGAAAGCTTTCTTGAGGGCCTGGCATTGTCATAAAATGAGTTCACCTGCCACCTGTAACACGGGTATCCCAAATGAGCATCATTTGAGACCTGGTGGCTCCACTTCTGAACCAGCACCCTCCCCATTTGCCTGGGAAAGCAGTGTAGGGTGGTGCAACTCCGGGGCCTCCCGTCACCCAGATGAGAGATGAAATGGCTCCACTGCTGCAGTCATTTGAGGAATGAAACTGCAAAGAGAAGACACCTGTCTCCACTGCTTCTTTCTCTGTAAATCTGCCTTTCAAATACATAAATCTTAAAAAACAAAACTTGGTCTTCATGAACATCACTCAAAAATGCTCCATCACTTCTCACTTTCTGAAACTCTTAACATTATCAGGATGAACACAAATACCTTCTGCAGAGTAGAGCAGCACTATCTTTGAGGGCTACGACGAGACAGGACTCTCCGGGGATCATGACTAATGACTGCCTGCTCCTTCCTGTTAGCCAGTGCTTCCCACTATCCCAGCTATATAGATTACCACCTTCACAGGAGTAAAGTATCCGACTCTCCGAGCATTAAGTTTCCCTTTACTTTCAGCGGATAGACCACAAGCCTAAGTGTCAAAGGAGTACAACTTTTCTGTGCAGTTTATTCAGAATGGTAAGCAGTCCAGTGTCAGTTTTAAGGAAAGTCCTAGCATCTAGAAATTTTGAAGTAAAATAATAATAATTTTAAAAGTATAACACAGTGTGGTTTTAGGCAAATGGAATTAACCATTAAATTGACTTAAAGAAAAAGTCAAAATATATTAGTTTTTCACTAGGAAAATATAATTATAAGCTGATGTTATTTAGAAAATATTCTTGCTCAGTAAAGCTAGTTGCAAATCAGGGCCCCAAAGACTGCATAGCTAATCTTTAGCAAATAAAGATTTGATAAACCATCTCAACCTGGAGGAGTTTTTCCCATTGAATGCACAGGAGATCTTGGTGAATAAATTACACTTGCTATTGCCTTACCAAGTTCATTAAAAACAGGTTGAATTTGTAATTCATCATCTTGAGTCAAGAAGCAAATGAAAAAACTGAGTTGCCTTTGAAAACTCAACAATAAAAAATTTGGCATCACTTTGAATTTTGTCCAGTCATTCTTAAAATGAAGACTGCGTTTTATAAGGTAAAAAGAATATGTTTTCTGAATAAAAATAATTTAGCAAAATCCCAGGTGACACGCCATCTACCTGCTGACTGTGATGAAGTCCTGGAGCACTTTAGTGGTGAAGCTTTCCATGTCCTTTAAGACGAGCACAACAGGGGAACACTGCCATTGGTGAGAAGAAGTCCTCTTTTTGCTTGGAAGTTTTGGCTCGGCCTTCTTTTTAAGCCATTATGGAAAGAAGGAGTTAATATAGTAAACCACACCACCCAAAGTCGCAGCGTCACACATTAATATATTTTCCTTCACATTTCACCGTAACATTGTTTCTTTTATTTCTTCTACATAAAAGAAACAAATTTCCACAGATACTACCAGAATCTGTCTGTCTGACCTGGGAATAATACCATGAAGAAAAAGGTTCAGGAAAATCACATACACAATATTTATAAACTATTTAAAGACTTATTTCATTTTTATTGGAAAGATAGATACACAGAGAGAAAGATCTTCCATCTACTGGTTCACTTCCCAAGTGGCCACAATGGTAGGAGCTTCAACCGATCTGAAACCGGGAGCCAGGAGCTTCTTCTGGGTCTTTCACATGGGTGCAGGGTCCTAAGGTTTTGAGCCATCCTCTGCTTCTTTCCTAGGCCACAAACAGGGATCTGGATGGGAAGTGGAGCAGCCAGGATACGAACCAGCACCCAAATGGGATTCTGGTGCATTCAAGATGAGGATCTAACCACTTATGCTATCACACTAAGCCCCAAATATTTATAATTTTTGCTGAGATAAATGACACGAACAGTAGGAAGAAAATTTCCTACAAAATTGATTTTTCTGGGCCCAGCATGATAATTCAATTGACTAATCCTTCCCCCTCTAAGCTCCAGGATCCCATTATGGGTGCCAGTTCATGTCCTAGCTGCTCCAGTTCCCTTCCAGCTTGCTGTTTATGGCCCAGGAAAGCAGTAGAGGATGGCTCAAAACCTTAGCACCCTGCACCCACATGGGAGACCTGAACGAACTCCTGGGTCCTGGATTCTGATTGACCCAGCTCCGCCATTGCAGCCATTTGGGGAATGAAACAGCAGAATGAAGATCTTTCTGTCTGTCTCTCATTCTTTAAGTGTGCCTTTCCAATAGAATAATAAACAAATCTTTTTAAAAAGTTTATTTTCTACTGACAGAAACTTGTATTTTGCCTAAAGAGGTCTTTGTATTTTTGATTAAAAGCACAGCAGTACTTGCTGCTATTGTGAAATTTCACAGTCCTCCAGCTTTCTGTCCTGCAGACTACGGAGGACAGCAGTCGGAGCTGAGGTACAGGCGAGACCTGGAGAGCGTGTCCCAGGACCTGGCTTTGGGTCCTGCAGAGATTTGTGAAGACCAGAGGTTGGCAGCTCTTGCTATCTGTGTCTCTATCTCTCTGCATCTCTCAAAGAAATAAATTAAAGAAACAACTAAAAAGATGGGGGGGAGTGGTAAAGATCATCTGGTCCAAATATAATCTTCTAAAGGTACCTAATTATCCATTTTAAGTAGTGTTAGATTCCCAGAAAATTTTAAATTACAGTCAAGTTAAGTATTAAACTTCATTTAATTCCTATAGAAAGTAAAATGAAACCATTTAATATGACTATAGCAAAAAGATTAGGTAGAAAATGTTGTCATAGTATGGTTTTTCCATCTTGTTCCAGTTATACAGCATCACCAAGTAAACCTGTAGCTTTATACTGCAGTTATCTGGCATCACCAAGAGTATTCATTTTCACCAAGGCTGTCACAGTAGAATGGAATTTCTCTTTATTTTGACTTTAAATATACTTACAGAACATCAACTTCAAGAACTCTAAACATGGAACAAATCAGATTTCCTTTAAATAATACATGATTATTCCTCATAGGATTAAATGTACAATACATACTAGCAGGATTGTCTATTGCATTAAAACAAATATTGAGGTACCAAAGAGATAATACATTAAAGTTATAGCCATTGTCACAGAGACAGAATGAACCTAGGAGGTAGTATATTAAAGTTACAGCTGTTGTACCCAGAGGCAGAATTTGCAATAGATCAATTCCTGATGCTCTGTTATTGTCATGGGATGGCATTTTCCACAAATAAAATGTCATTTTAAGAACTTAACCACTTATTGAAGATTGGGTTGCACAAAAATAAAAAGAACTATTTTTAATTCTAGTATCCTTAAAAAAAGTCACTGTGAAAACTTATTTCTGTGAAAGCGTATAGTAAAAGAGAAATACAGTATTATGTCCAATATAATTCCAAGTCCCATAGGTTACAAGCCAATTTTCTGAGAGAAAAACACCTGTTTATATTTACCTGTGTGACAGTCTTGTACCAATCAAAAAGCAAATCCATTGAATAATGTGTCCTTTTCTGGGTGACATGAACACTTCCTTCCTCATTGGATTTTACATCCTCACAGCAATTCATCAACTGTGAGACCAATTTTTGCAAAAAATGTTTCATATCTGTAGAACATGAAAAATAAGATAGCTTTTTTCCTGTTAAAATTAAAGCCCCAAAACTTCCTGATTGGTAAAGGAAGCGATCTGAATAAAACACGACTTTGTATATTTACCATCAGTGTAACTAACAAAACATTTAACACATTAACTATTACTGCTCTTTAGTATCCTCTACTTCCTACATAATTTTCATAATTAAGGACAAGACTAAAATTTACATGTATTATGTATAACAAAAGCAAAACAAAGTATAAACATGACAACTATAACTTATTTAGAAGAAGTAGGAATTTAAATTACACTAGACAACAGAGTTTTTAAGTTCCACAGGAAAACTAAAGTGGTATTTACATGAATCATTTTCCTGCTTATAAACCTTCCATTATAGTGATTTTTAAACATATATTTAGGACTTTTATTCATTTCCAGTTAGTATGACTATGAAATAAAAGTATGTGAAATATTTATATCAATGCAAATCCAAATAAATTTTAGTGTATCACATCCTCTTTATGGGTGAAGATGGTTGAAGACACCCAAGACTGGCTGTCAAGGGATTATTTTTATCATGGTAGCATTTCAATGTACTGCTGTAAATATGAATCTATGTAATCTATTCTCTGTTGGGTTAAAAAGAGTTTCAATTTCCCAGTTCTCAGCTCTCTGCCCTAAATCTTGCTCTATTTATTCACTGAGTTCAGAAACAATCTAACAAACTTATTGGACAAGTACAGATGTGATGTTGATATGGTGGCAACACGGCTGCTAAAAAGGAAGCAAAAAATGGCAGCGTATGACAACAGTGGAGATTACTCAGGGAGCCAATCAATTTCACCTGCTAACAATGCCCTTTGTCTACATGGGAAGGGATAGGAAAAGGGAGATGTGTAACATCTTATTGAACTAATTGTGTGTTTATACTTCATATTTTACCTGGACAATCTTTAGCTTGCAGTGAGACTACATATGGTGTGACAGTATTCTGAAGGACCTCTGTTAGACTTCGGAATATTGAATCATGATCTGTGACATTCACACCTATGGGATAATCAATCAGTTAGCAACATTTTTATTAATCATCACCATTTCAGTAATAATTTAAAATCAAAAGACTACTTAATATTATCAAAAGACTACCAAGTAATAATATTTAAAACACAATTAGTAGTAGAAACCAAGAAAATACCCTGTGTAAGGATACTAACCAAGAATTACATGAAGGTGTATACAGCTGATTTATCATAAAAACTGCTTGCCACCATGTCTCTTTAAAAAAATTCACTGAGGATATATTGCTGACCCTTGAAAACATCTTTAGGACAAAAGTAATTACACTGTTAAATTTAAATAGAGCCCTTTATTAAAGGGGCCGGTTCTGTAATACAGTGAAATAAGTAGCACCTAAAGTATTGGCATCCCTGTTTGAGTCCAGGCTGCTCAGCTTCTCATCCAGCTTTGTGATAATGTACTGAGTAGACAAGAAAGCCTAAGTATTTTGTTCGTGCCACCTGTGGAAGACTCGGATGAAACTCTAGACTTGTGGCTTCTGAGCTCTTTGCTTAGACCAGATATGAGTGTTGTGCTTGTTAAAGACTGAGGAAACAGATGAAAGTTCTCTATTTCTGCATGTCTTTCTGCTTTTGAAATAAGCAACTAAATCTAAACGATTAAAAAAAATGATCATTCAGAAACAACATACTATAAATTCCAAACTGTGGCACTGACTTAACAGCTGAGGAGAAGCCAATCATGATATCAACAAAAATATTATTATATACAATAGAATGATATACTTAGCTGACTTGTGAGGGAAAAATTTAAAAAGAAATAAAAAATATAGGTTCTTTTGGAATTTACCAAACCATTTTTGTGTTCATAAATCAGTTTCAGAGCTCTGTATACAATTATCAGAAATAAGTACAAATTTTTCCACCACTTTGCATAGAATTCTGTTAACTGACACCACACCTTTCCTAACAACAGTATGATTTCTAGAAAGTCCTTAGCGCTTAGACAGACATCAGCAGCAGATACCCTCAATTGCTGAAAACCGCTACTATAAAGTTTCTATTACTTAGAAGGAAAAAAGTTCCAGAATTCTCTGTGCCAGCATTAAACATCCTTTGTTGTTTTTCAGAAGAGTTCTAAATGCCAACTTTTAAATGCATTTATATAATTTTTGGAAAAAAGAAAAAAATGTGTAGCTCTGCGTAAGCATTCTTTCAGTACAGACTTTTTTTTTTTTAAATAACATCATAGTACTCCTAGCATGTATATAGGCTATGATTATGTTTCTAGAGTCTGGTGTTGTAGAGCAGAGGTGTTAGCCACTGCCTACAATGCCAGCATCCCACATTAATGCTGGTTTGAGACTCAGCTGCTCTATTTCTGATCCAGCTCCCTGCTGGTATACCTGAGAAAACAATGGAAGATGTCCCTATTGCTTGGGCCTCTGACATCATGAGGGAGACCCAGACAAAGTTCCTGGCTCCTGGCCATATCCTGTTCCATCCCTGGCCACTGTGACTACCTGGAGAGTGATCTCTGTCCATCTTTGTCTCCTTCTCATTCTGTCACACTGTCTTTCAAATACTTTTTATTTTGATTGAAAAGTCAGATTTACAGAGCAGAGGAGAAACAGAGAAAGATCTTCCACCTGTTGTTTCACTCCCCAAGTGCCAGGAGCTTCTTCTGGGTCTTCCACATGGGTGTACGGGCCCAAGGCTTTGGGCTATCCTACACTGCACTCTGAAGCCACAAGCAGGCAGCTGGAATGGAAGTGGAGCAGCTGGGATATGAACTGGCACCCATATGGAATTCCAGGCACATGCAAGGTGAGGACTTAAGCCACTAAGACACCAAGCCGGGTCCTCAAACAAATGAAATTTTTAAATGTAAGATTTCAGGCCTACCCACACTTATAAATTAAAATCTGCATTTTAGTAAGAACCCCTAAAGCTTACTTGTAGGTATATGAAAGTTTGAGAAGTATTATCCAGAATATCTGAATAAGATTTGGGTAATGCCACACAATTAGAAGCAATATTAAACAGAAGAATTTGCTACCTCAGAGTCCACGAGAGTAACAAAGCTTAATAAATAATTGGAAGTAAAAGAAGAGCATGTCTAGAATCCCAATAAATTAAACTCTGTATGAAGAACCAAAGATGCAAATTTGCTGATATTTCCAATCAATTTTTCCCATTATCCTAGAATCCAAATGTTTGTTAAAATTGTAATAATATTAGTACCCAAGAAATTTATAACCTGCAATCAGAAAGCAGCTTACATACAATTTAACTAAATCATTTTTTCTAGGCAATTAATATAAAGTAAGGAAACAATCCATAATTAAAAACAAAACAGAGAAAGAAAAATGAACGTGACAGAGTAACTCCATTAGATAATACTTTTGAAAAGCATAAAAATCAAATCTACTAACATAATAGAGGTGTCTTTACTAACAAATTCATATATTTTCACAATATATTTAAGAAAGAGTAAAACCATTTGTTTTCTGCAAAAAGCTGAATAAAGAACTAGCTGAACCAATTTTTGTTAGTTTATATATAAACGATCAGTACAAAAGTTTTATTAGGTTTGAAAACATACAAATTATACTTCATTAATTTTGTAAATAAGAGACAAAACAGGTTGCTCAAGAAAGTTACTTATCAATATTCTCAATAACATAATCAAAACTAAAAAGTAAATACATATGTATTTATGAACAAACACAGAAACATACCAAGCACAACAGCAGCAGTTGGAATTTCTCTGAGTTTTATCTGAAAACCCCAGTCCCTTGAACTCTTCTGTAATCCGCAATGAGATTTTTGCAGAAACTCAATTAGACTATCAAACAGGTTTTTATTTAATTCTTCTTGTAGCCGCTACAAATGAAACGCGAAACTTTATGAATTAAAATTATTGGTAGTAATTGGATGCAACTTTCCCAGTGTAGAAAGTTTAAACTTTTTTCTCTGACTGCTCAGCAATTTCTGTCTATGAGAAACTAGCAATATATCATGCATGCATTAGTATTTGTGAACAGGTGAAAAAAGCATATAATTTATTAATATGAAGAAACATGTAAACTATATACAAAGTATGAGAAAGAGCCACATGAATTAAATTTAAAGACCACTTTGAGCTATACAGAAAAACAGGGGCTTCAGGCTTAGCAATAAAGGAAGGAATGGTTCAGCAAGCTATGAAGGGTTAAGGGAGCAAAATGCACCAACATACAGGCTGCTTTATTATGCAAACAAACTCTCCTGCTAACAGTCATCAGAAGGCTACCAGCCATAATGACTGTCACATCTAGCAGTCTGATCCTCAATGCCTTCCTTCTGCATTACAATGTCTGAGGGATTGCAGAAAAGTCTCTGCCTGTATTTCACATTAAGTTTTGGAGGTATAGGTAATTGTCATTTTACAGAAGGATAGCTTTTCCATTATTATGTCTGCAGTCCTTCTGAGCAGCCATCTGGAAGTATGCTGGGGAAGTGTGGGGAGTGGCCAACCCCACGTGTATGAGGGGCCTGCAAGACCGTGGCTGGCCCAGGGCCAGGAGGCAGAGTTGGTCTCACCAGCAGGTAAACAGGAAGTCACAGGGATAGACTAATGCCCCCACTGCGATTATGTCATTACTACCAGCCTATCAGGTAGTACCCAGTGGACCCACGGGGAGATGTGATTGGTGGAGAACTGTATATAAGCAGGCTGCTTTCGGCAATAAACCTTTTCGTTCGGCCCTTTTCGTTTGCCTGCTTTTCATCCATGTCTTTCTTTTCATTCGCTCGTTCGTTTGTGTGTGTCTGTGTGTGTGTGTGTGTGTGTGTTTCCTTCGGTGTGTGTCGGTTGTAGTGGCGGTTCCTGTTTTTCCAGGCCCTCGAGAGCTCCTCGTCATTTTAGTGTCGCCGCAGAACGGCAGCAGAGAAGTATATTCTGGGGGCTGCCTATTTTGATCTCCCTCACTAGGTTTGAAAAAAACATTGTCGTAGATCCAATTCCAAAGTTTACATGTTACATGATTAAAAGATAGATGGAATAAAAAATGACTTTTTCATACACCGCCAATAACTAGTGCTACGGACTTTGGATTCTCCATTTAAAACAATGCCTCTCACTTATTCATTCAACATTTACTTACCACCTATGAATGACAGATTCTGCTCTCCAAAAGGAAAGAAACTAGGCCAAAAGTAGGATCTCATAGGTTGCAGGTGATGGGTTGAGGTGACAGGAGGTAAAGGAATGTTAGAATGAGGAGCCAGGAAGGCAGGTAAGAAGTCAACACCCAGTGTCTGGAGAACCACAAACACAGCTAAGCGTGTAAGAAATGAGATCAGACTAAGAGAAAATAAACATGGTGTTAAAAGGTTTGGATTTTATCCTATAGGAAGTCTACTGGAGAAATGTGAAGGAGAAACATAGCCAATTCAAGGTTAAGAAGGGATAACCTAGCAGTCTGATGAAAATCAGGTCACAGGTGGTAAGGGAGTCATCTGTCATGGCAAGCAGGCAGAGCAGAAAACCCCTGGAGCCTAGGACAGGGCTGTATTTGCCCAGAAGAGGTTTTTCAAATTTTCAAACGGTTTTTCAAACGGTGCCTTAAGAGTTAATGGCACAGCAAGAATCTGACATCAGTCAGAGACACCAGGTGGGGGATATTTTGACAACCCAGCGTAAGATATGAAGAGGGCCTAAACTGGAAACTACGGACACATGATACATGGATACATGGGCGAGCTGAGCACAAAATGCCCTGAACAAGCATGCAAGGTATTCAAGAGGGAGACCTACTGAGGGCTTGTCTGAAAAGTATTCAGTTTGTCTACCTCAACCGACAGGTCAATCTCACAGGGGATATGGTGAGTTTTCACTCAGCCACGTGCAAGAACCTTTGCAACCCTTTATTCTTTATACTCTTTTTTTACCTATTCCCAGAAATATCCTTATTAAAAAGAATTCTTTTCATCATACCCTGTCACTGAAGATGCTTTTAACCAATCTTGACCTAAACACAGTGATTTCCAACTTGTCAGGAACTCTGCCCACTCCTCCACTTACCTGTTCAGGCCAAATCAATTTTTGCTGTGTAATGATAAAGGAAAAATTACTGTTGTGAAATAAAGAAATTCTGACTAGAATCTGACCACCCTGAAACACTTCCAAGAGTTATTAAGGGGCTACGTCACTCACACTCTGGGCCTTGAATAGCCTTTTAGCATCCTTTTTGCAGAGGATGTTTATTTCTGCCAACAGTACAAAGCCACTAGGTATAAAATAATAAAGACTGTGGGAAGTAGAAATGCAGTGCCGAACAAATACTGTCCCTAAAGCTTCCAAACCAAAACATGTGACACTGCGATGATCAAAGTAAACAAGCTGCAGACTCAAGCTGCTGGCACCAGTGTTCCCCCTTCTCTGTACCAGACACATTTTTCAATGTTGGAAAATAAAGAACATGATAACCAGCAATGAGGAAAGAATACAGGAGAACTAAGCCAATAGTGCCAAAAGGGCTTCATTTTGACATATGTAACTGCATGAATAATTTAAGAATGTAGCATTTGAAAGCTCCTTGCCTTAGCAGCTATCTTAAACATATGTCCCGGTAGCAATGCTTAGTCTTTAAACTGTGTTTACAGGACAGAAAGACTCTTCTGGACCAATATTTCCTACATTAATCAGTTTTCTCATAAACTAGTAGAAAAAGGAAAGAAACAAATATGTGATTACGATATTAAAGAGAGTTAACAAAAAAAAAAAACCACTCACCTCAGTCTCAGATTTCATCTGTTGCCACATCAATTGGTAAGTTTCAAACCGAAGTTTACTGTCTTCGGATGCATTTTTCTTTGTATCAAAATAGTCCTCTAAAACACAGAAGGAAACCACTTTGTCTTTTTATATAGTTAAACTTAAAAATTGCATAAGGTACAAAGTAAGTGATGGGGATCGAATTTTTATAGGCACCAAATATATAGTTACATACTTATGATTTTTTAAAAATAAGCTATATTCAACATGTTTAATGTGACTTATTTTATTCTACCGTATTAATTGTATTGTTAAGATTAAAAATTCCTTTAATCTTTTTTTTAAACTACATTTATTTCATTTTATGACACAGTTTCATAGGGTCTGGGATTCCCCCAACCCCTCCCAAAACATTTAATTCCTCCACATTGTTACAGTAATACAGATCATAACCAGTCATGATTCCTTCATTGCAGGCATGAACCATGCAGAGAGTCTGGCATCTTATTGTCCAGATAAATTCAACAGCTCCATTGGGTAACCATCGCTGGTCTGAAACCAGAGCTGGCAGAATAATATCCCCTCCAACGAAAAGCCCCTACACAATTTCAACAATTTACAACATCATAAAGTTAATGGACATGGTATTGAGTGACCACTATGTTAGAAAATGCAAGTTCTAAACCACATCCTGTAACTACTTCACTGACATCTCAATTATAGTTTATATGCAACCAGCTGTTATACACCTTAAAATAGTTATATGGTACTATTCAGCTATCTTGTGTCTATTTTTATTTATATATTTAGCAGCTTAAAGTATTCAAGCGTGATTTCTACTGAACTTTGGAAATTTAGGATAGTCCAAACAGGCTTATAACTCTAACAAGCCATATGTTAACAACTGAGGAGCAGAACAGTTTTAGGAGGGGTGTGCAGAGAAATCTTCAATACCCTAGTGAGGAGTAACTGATCTTTGTGTCCTGCCCAGGAAGGTATATGGGAGTCCAAGCTGACCGTTTCCTGTCTGTTCTAAGCTTTCCTTATCGGTCTCTGTCTATGTGATCTAATTTTTTGGTGGCTCCGGAGCAACCCTGATGGTCATTGCAAGAGAGGGTGGGGATCCAAAGTTGGAACTAAGTAAGGACCAGATAAAGTTTCTCTCCCAAGAACTGAAGGAAGTTTACTGTTCTTCTGTTTCTGAGGACCACCCGGGGCTCCTGAAAACGCCTTTAATCTTTAAGACTGTTTTCATCATTTACTTTTTAATTTATAACAGTTTAATGTTTCTGGTTCAAGATACATATATTTACTATTAGTGTGTTTCATTATTTGCTCCTATTCTAAGACCCAGTATACTTCGTTGCATATATTTGCTTTTTCTTTCTTAAAGAGTATATGTATTTATTATAATTATTGTTATTTATTTTTATTTGAAAGGCAGATTTAGACTGGCTCACCTCCGATCACTGTGGCTATTTTGGGAGTGAACTAAGTGATGAAAGATTTCTCTCTCCATAATTTACTCTTTTTTTTTTTCACTGTAATTCTTGCCCTTTAGATAAATAAATTTAAAAATCTTTAGAATTTTTTTGAAATTTAATAGTTATACTTTCTCCCAGCAATTAGATGGGTTTTAATCTAAATACTTGTATACTTTGACGGATTTTCTTTGTGCTGAACCCGACTGTATTTCTGTACATTTTTTTTAAAGACTTATTTATTTGAAAAGCAATTACAGAAAGACAGGGAGGGAAAGAGAGACATCCTTCATCTCCTGGTTCACTCCTCAAATGGCCACAGTGAACAGGGCTGCACCAGGGTGAAGAACAGCTTTTTGTTGGTCTCACACATGGCAGGTACCTAAGCACTTGTGCTATACTCCTCCACTGCTTTCCCAGACACATCAGCAGGGAGCTGAATTGGAGGTAGTCCAGCCAGGTCCCCAGCCAGCACCCAGATGAGATTCCAGTGTCAAAGGCACCAAGTTTACCTACCATGTCATAAAGTAGGTCCCAACCCACACCACTTTCTGCACTGCTTTAACTGTGATAGCTTTTTATACAGTACATTTTAGCATTAAGTATATCTGGTTCTTCTTCCTACTGTCTCCAAATATAGATATTCTTTTTTGAAAAAAAAATTAGGCCATTCTTTAATTTCGCAGCAATTCTCTTTTCAAAAAGCATTAGAGGGCCCAGCGCTGTGGCGCAAGTGGTTAAAGTCCTCGCCTTGCACGCCCGGGATCCCATATGGGCGCCAGTTCTATCCCGGCAGTCCCGCTTCCCTTCCAGCTCCCTACCTGTGGCCCGGGAAAGCAGTCGAGGACGGCCCAAAGCTTTGGGACTCTGCACCCGCGTGGGAGACCCAGAAGAGGCTCCTGGCTTCGGATCGGCATAGTATCGGCCGTTGTGCTCACTTGGGGAGTGAGTCATCAGATAGAAGATCTTCCTCTCTGTCTCTCCTCTCTGTATATCTGCCTTTCCAATAAAAAAATAATAAAAATAAATCTTTTTTAAAAAAAAAGCATTAGAATGCTGTTTTTATCTAGGTAAAATCAAATCTGTAGACTAAGGCAATATAGTATTTGCTCAAAAATATTTTGTTGGCCCCAGTTGTAGGTAACTGCCTAGGCTGCCTTGTATCTAGGCAGTACAGTGCTGGGAGAAAAGCACCCAGTAGCTGGTGGGCATTCTAGGCCTGGTTAATGCCAAACTTGTTAACTGTATGAGTATGCCAGCAGTTTCTTCCTCTACTTCCTCTTCTTCTTCTTATTACCACTATTATTATTTTTAAGATAAATGGGAAAGTCAGGGAAGTCCAGGCTTGGACATGCCATCCCACTTCCCATGTGGGGGCACTGCAGGTTACCAGCAAAAGGGGCCTGGGAATGTATTTGTAGTGGGAGTTGCTGAGGGCATATTTGACAGGGAAGGAATGATTTCTGGGGGTTTCCTTGGACTAGGCCAGTGCACTCACAGGTAGGCAAGTGAGCTGATATGCAGTGTTTTAGAGAGGGGAAACTAGAGGCCATATCTGGGTCAGGCCAAAGCACTTGTCCACATGGGAAACCTGGGTTGGGCTAAATAACATTGCCCACTACCCACTGATAAAGCTGGGGATGTGGAGCAAGCCTAGGCTGGGTTAGGGCTCAGTACCCACCGGATCATACAAGAACTGGGTCTTGGGGTGGGTCAGACTGTAGAATCCATTAGTGAGAGCCAGAATGGGTAAGGACCAGTCAGATTAGGCCACAGTACCCACTGTTGAGTGCCAGGACTAGGGGTCATCCACGATAGTTTGGGCAGCAGCACCCAATGGCATGTGTACAATCCGGGACTGGTAGCAAGCATGGTAGGGGAACTTGGGTAACTCCCCTGCTAAGTACATCTCCCGCTGGTGAGTGCGACAGTTGGGGCTGGAGTGTGCCAGGCCAGGCTGGGCTACAGCACCTGCTGGCTCATGTGTGAGCTAGGTCTGAGGTCAAGGCCGAGCAGGGTCAGTCTACAGCACATACTGGCACGACTGAAAGCCAGGACAGGGCACAGGCCAGGATTGGACTGCATCATCAGTTAATTCATATGACAGTTGGGGGTGGGCCAGACTTGGCTAGGCGGCTGTACCTGCCAGTGAGAGCTGGGACTGCGGACAGGCTGAGTTAAGCCAGGCTATAGCACCTACTGGTGAACACCAAAGGGGCAGGCCATCTCAAACTACGCTACAGCACCATCTGACACACACAAGACCAGGAGCTGGGAGCAGGCCTGGAAGGGAAATTTGGGGAATCCCTTGCTGGGTGGCTGCTTCCACTGATAAGCATGACAGCTGGAACTAGGGGTGAGCTGGTCTCAGAGCAGACCAGGCTGGGCAAGATGTTGCACCTGTTGGTGTGCAAGAGACAAAATGGGTGAGTGCCAGGATTGGGTTATGAGTCATGTCAGGCTAGACAGCAAATACCCACTGGAAGGTGCAAGATCCAGGGCTGGGAACATGCTTGGAAGGGGAACAGTGGGCACTCCTCTGCTATACTGTACTATTGCTGGTAAGCACAAGAACCAGGACGAGGGACCAGCCATTCTGGGCAAGGCGGCAGCACTTGTCAGCATATGTGAGGGTGAGATCTGGAAGCAGGTCAGGTTGAGCTAAATTGCAGCCCTCAGGGTGTGTTTATGAGAGCTGGATCAGATGTGGGCTGGGCCTGCCTTAGCAGATGCTGGAATGTGGAAAAATCAGAGCTGGGGGCATGCCTGGTGGGGATATAGGGACCATTTCCCCTAGGCCACAGCACCTGGTGATATGTGTAAGGACTAAGACTATGGTAGGCTGGGCTGGGTACCCATCAGTTGGCTGCAGTACCCATCAGTTCATGTGAAATATAGGGCCAAGGCAGAACTGACCAAGCTCATCCACTAGCATATGTGTTGGCTAGTACAGGTGACAGACCAAACCTGACCCTGGATTGGCTGGCACACACAAGAGTCTAAGGTCACCCCAGAAGAGATTTCCTGGTGGATTCCACAACTGGACTGCTATAGTCAGACCTGACCACAGGGAAAAATTACAGGATATGTAATCTGACCATAAAATTCAGCTGCTGTGCACTGGCCAGTTTGCCCAGGTGTAAAGGGAGATTGGATGGATCTGACAGCTAACTTATCCAGTTTAGCACGGAACTTCAACTGTCTTGTTAGAGGACAGAAACAGAACCAGTTGGACAATTCTCCTGGTCAAGCTAGCAGCAAGTGTCTGGGGCCTGTGGATGCACTAAGGTGGACTCTAAACCAACAGACGTTAGAAAGATTTTCCCAACTCTGAAGTAATGAAACCAACAATGTCTCAGGGCTATGGAAACCACTCAAGTAACACCCTTAGAACCAAATAAGGGTCTCTAATGCATCATCAAAGGACTGTTTTCCCTCTCCAGTGCTGATGTAGTTTGACAGCAAAGAGTAGTCTCTTCCCCCTCCTCCCCTGAGGACCTGGGAGAGAGAGAGAAAAAAAAGGCTGAAACACGCATCCCACCCATATTCCTCCATGCCTCCTGACCCTCTCCATCCTAATCAGAAGCCCACACAGGCAGGCATCCTTCTCAACTATGAAAACAACATTAAAAATT